TTTTTTTTTTTTTTTTTTTCAGTATGAAATTATTAATTATTATTTATCACAATATTTGAGAAAAATTATTTTTTCAACTTCCTAAGAATTCATGTAAATTTATATGTAAATCAAATTTAAATTTTTCTATACATATAATAAATTCAAAAGCTAGCTTTTTTACTTATTTGATGATATGCGAAGTCGATTGGACCTGATCAATGCATTATTTACTTATTTATTTAATTTGTATGAAAAATATATACAATATGTATGTATATATGAGTTAATTGTTTGGGTGGCCACTGAACTTTACCCATAGTCACGGCTTACCCATTGAACTTTAATTTGGCTGTTAAAATTACTAAACCTCTTGCACACATGGAAGAAAAAACCCCAAACAGACCATTGAAATTGTAATTTGTCTCAAACATTTCCTCGTTCATCCTCCCCAACCCAAAGTGAAGAAACCGAAGCCCTACGTCTTGCCCTAAATCTCTCCACCCAAATCGAAGGAAACCCAAGCAATAGTCATTGGCCCAAATCCCTCCACCCGAACCCATTTACCCTCGATTCAGTGGGTGGTTGTGCAAACGCAACCCAGTTATCAACACCCACCTCGTAATCTCCAAATCAATTTAGAACTTTACAGTAGCTGCAGAAGGAAGTCGTGCACATGGATGACGACAGTGAAGGTAAATTATGCACAATGTACGTGTTTTTTGTTTCTTAGTTGCTGCAAATTTAGTTGTTGAGGTAAAGGGAAGATGGGGATTTTTGAATTCACGTAATCTCGTTTGTTCCCTAAGATCAAGAGAAAACTTCACAAGATTGGAGAAAAATCTCGAGAATGCACATTGCATTTATCTAGTGGGCCTAAATGGCAAGTTGATTGCAGCTACGGATTGTACGTTGTGGATCTTCAAGAACGAACATGTGCTTGTAGAGAATGGGAGCTGACCGGGATTTCGTGCATGCACGTAATGTCCGTTATAAGAGAGTGTATGAACGAACCAGAAGATTATGTTGACAACTGCTACACAATCGAGACATATATGAGATGTTACGAAAACAAATTGAACCTCATTAACGGGGTGAGGTTATGACCACATTGCGAAGTCATGGATATAATCCCCCCTTCGTGGACTGTCCCACGAAAGGGAAAAAGGGGGCAGACGAAGATGTAGTTGTGCATTCACAAGGAAAATCGTACATTCAAAAAAAGGGTTTGGTGAAAATGACACGTTCAACATGCGGAGCTAGTGGTCACAATAAACGATATCACGATAGACCCGATGTACCTATTGCCAATGTAAGCATAACATATGTTTTTTACAAGCAGTTCTAGTTGTGTAAATGTGTTATAATTCATTTCTCTTGTAATAGGATTGGTTTGAAGGGGAGCTAGAACCCGTGGATGAATATGCCAATATAGTAGGTAACGAACAGGTAAATTTCTCACTTTTTTTACCAGGCTGTAGTGTTCCAATTACAAACATCCATCATATGATTGTAGCTGCTATGTTTTAATCTGAATTGTTTGTTGATGTATAGGAAAACATGGTCTCTAAAAGAATCCCACGTAGGAAGGGATTACCATCAAGATTTCCACATCTCGACCAGCTGCAATTCATGCCAACTCCCATGGCAGATAGGGAACTGCAAACTGGGAGCCTCACATCTGGACCAGCTGCAACCTTACTTGGTGTTAGTGTTCATACCACCGAAGTTAATTTTGATGTGATTGTTGATGAATCACAAAGCATTGATGCAGACGAATCGTCGCGGTTAAAGGCGGAAAGGCCACTGAAAAGAAGAAATGTGAAGGCCACATCCTAGCAAGTTAATGGCAGATGCGCCGTAGTTGAAGCAAGATCAGTTTTTTTTTTTTTTTTGAAGCAGTCAAAGCTTTTGTATAGATGTATCATCTGAAGTCAAGTGAATAGGTTTGTATTTTTGTTGGCTGCTTTGTGTCCAGAAAAGTTGTGCTCAATGTTTTTGTATTAAGGGCACACTTACATTATGCATCTATAACCTAACTTTGGTTGAACGTGTTGTCCTTTTTGGAATGTTTAGTAATGTTCACAGGTTACTGGAATGCTCAGGTGACCCAACTTTAGTAATGCTCACATGTGGTCTATTATTTATTTTTTGCTAAGGATTGTTTAATTCCATACATTCAATATTATTGCACAAGAAAAAACCCAATATTTTTGGAAACATGTGCAATCGAGAAAAATAACTTTTTTACCACGGCATTGCATCAAAGTGTGAATACCTTAATCTATTACAACATCGCATCGAATTCTCGTTGCCTTCATGTACTACAACTACTATTGCCGATGATGCAACATTAAGTTGGAAAACTACAATGTACATCTTTTATTCGTCTATTACATAGTCAGAAGAAATTTATGGAACTCTTCATTTTCCTTTCCCATTGTCCTTGGTAGCTCCTTTTCATTTACGAATCGTTATATTGATAGATATCTCCAATTCTTCTTCTTATATCAACTGAACGGCTGTCTTCAGTATAGACGACAAATCTTCAATCGGGTCTTTCGTCTTGGATTTAACACTGGACTCACCTTCAAATTGCAAATGCGTTTCTTGCGACGACGATGGTTCATCGGACCACTTAAAATAACCGCAATCTCTAGTGCAACATAAGAATAAACGACCTATGTTTTTTGTCTTTTTTTCTACCTCCATACATTTCACAAAGCCCAATCCGCATTCTCGACATCGCGTCTTTGTTGGGCATTCCTGCAATGTGTGCCCCCGCATCCTACAACTATGACAAACACCCTTGTTTCTCCTTGCCATTTTGCAGTTGAATGTGTTTATCGGAAAAATGCATAGAAATGAAACCCTTTCCAAATTTCTCAAATGCCTTGTCACCAAAGACCTGCATGGATTTCGAAGTAAAAATTATATTGCATGATAGACGGACAACAAGAACAAACAGTACCACACCATTGATTCCTTTATATCAGAAGGCAAGAGTTAATTAAATCAAACTCATAGAACTGTAGTAAAAATGATTGCGAAATAGGAGAACACAATTATGCAATTAGGTGATGCATTTGTTAAAAAATGGCAACCATTCCGCATTGAGTCCACTGTAAATACTGGAAGAACGATTGAGTTCACTGAACAACTAAAACTGCAGCAATTGCATAAACAAAATCAATAACATTCTGAAAATTTTTGGTCCTCTGTGTTCTAACAATAACAACTTTAACAAGCCCAATGTAAGAAATTCATCTAAAATGCCTATTCAAGTGACGGTGAAAGTGGGACTTTTCATTGAGTCCACTGTAAAACTGCCATTTCCCCATTCAGTCAAGATTACAACTCTATCAGCAAACTATCTTTCACTTCAGCTGAATACTGGAAAAGTGGCAAGGTATGGATGCCTTAACACATACATTTTCACGAGATTACTTGAATTCGAAAATGCCCATCTTCCCTTTACCTCAACAACTCAATTTGCAGCAACTAAGAAACAAAAAACACGTACACTGTGCATAATTTACCTTCACTGTCGTCATCCATGTGCACGTCATCCATCTGCAGCTACTGTAAAGTTCGAAATTGATTTGGAGATTACGAGGTGGGTGTTGATAATTGGGTTGCGTTTGCACAACCGCCCACTGAATCGAGGGTAAATGGGTTCGGGTGGAGGGATTGGAGGGATTTGGGGCAACGACTATTGTTTGGGTTTCCTTCGATTTGGGTGGAGAGATTTGGGGCAAGACCTAGGGCTTCGGTTTCTTCACTTTGGGTTGAGGAGGATGAACGGGGAAATGTTTGAGACAAATTACAATTTCGATGGTCTGTTTGGGGTTTTTTTTTCCACGTGTGCAAGGGGTTAGTAATTTTAACAGCCAAATCATCTTCCCGTCTTCCACGTCGACACGTTCACGGACGGAATCCGTCCGATGGCCATTTTAGTGAAACGGAGATAAGATGAATGACTATTGGGAAGTATTGTAAAGTTCAATGGGTAAGCCGTGACTATGGGTAAAGTTCAGTGGCCACTCAAACAATTAACTCGAATATATACGACGAAAACATACAGGTTCCCTCCACATCTATATCCGAACCAAATTCCCACTTCCTTCCCTCGTTACCCCTCTCGCCGTTCTCTTTCTCTCCCGCTTTTCTATTCATTCTTCCTTTTCCTAAAATCAGATCTCTCCACGCCCCTTTTTCATTTCCCTCATAACACTGCTTTACCTTCCCCAACTATACTCACCCCCAAACCCTCCAAAACTCCCAATGATTCTTGAGAATTACAAAAAAATCTCTGTTTGTTTCACTCTTGGAGCTTCGAGAAAAGATTTATGAATCATGCAACAGAAGAGCTCAGAGAAGCAGAATTTTATGAGACAGCTATCATTCACTTCCTCAAAGCCCCCATTTGGAGGTGACTACCACCGTTTTGACGCTGATTCTGGTCGTGGACAGTCTAATCGAGAAGATGATCAAGTTGTCGTTATCAAGACTCCTCCTGTAAGTTTTTCATTTTTGAACCCTTGTTACACTGATTTTATCTTTGTACTTATTTTCATTTCAGACTTTTGTGTGGTTATGATTTATACAGCGTATTAAGATCTCTTATTTTCTTGGATATTGGAAACAATGTATAAATCGAAATTGAAGTATATGATAATCATTTAGGGGTCGTTTCCAATATATGTAGTATCAAGTCTGAATATACTAAAGGTGGGATTTTTATGTTGTCGGGAGATATCATTAATGGGGTGGAATTGAATTAGTGAATTTGTATGGACTGTAAGGATTTTGACCATAGTCATTTAGCTTGTTATATTGGTCATTCTTCCATTTTTTTCTGTTGTTTAGTGGAATTGTGAAGTGAGTTTTGATTTGAGTTCTTCTGGAGATGAGTGCGAACATGATTCTTTGGTATGGTTTTCCGTCATGATAATCTCTATCCAGGGAAAATTTTGAATCACTTATGAGTCTCTTAATTTTTTGAAGATCTACAATCTTTTCCGATGCATTGCAGAAAATATTATGTTAGCAGATATCCTGTTGAAAGCATTATAAAAGTACTTCGAATTAATTTTTCTGTCATATCTCCATGGCACATGTCAAGCATAAGGAGACACCATAATTTTTTAACCATTAAGTCAATAGCTTCAAAAGTTCTCTAAAAATATATTTATGCTTTTCGATTTTTCAAATTTCGTACTCATTGGAAGATATACTTGAAATTTGGGGATTGAGAGCAAATTGCAATGTTGCTTACTCGAAGATTTTATCTGTTTGATTGTCAATATAAAGAGCGTTGAGGCTAAGGATTTGGACTTGATGGTAAATTTTGGCTCTTCAGATCTTCTTGTTAAAAAGAGAAGTATCATTGGACCTTAATGTAGATTAAGGAGATGTACTTATTTGTTGTCTAAATGTATATTTGAAATGTAGTTAACCTTAAGAACGATTAATTAGTTTATATGCAGGAGCAGGAGCATGAGTAGGAAATGTAAGAATGCCAATAAAACATTTATGGTTCAATCATATCATACAAAATTTCCAATTGCTGAGGACTGGTGATAGCACATTAAGTTTGTATAATGTATCAGTACCTCGTGTAACTATATAGTCTGACTCTCATCAGTCGAAATTAACTCACTGTGTAAATTACATTAGGTTTTATATTTTAGATTCCATAGTAGATGGCGTTATGGTTTTACTTAAGACTGATTTAAACCTGAATGGATGTCTTAGGATGTCCTATGAACTATTCTTATGATCTCATATAAAATTTAACTCCTTTGATTGGAATTATCTATAAATGATGAGTAGGACACAAGCCAAATATATCTTATTATTTCATAACGCAATTAATTGCTTACCTATTTGTTTGTTTATATTTACTACATTATGGAGTGGGCTTGTCCAAGCACCTAAGATTTATTATGGTTGATAGTTCTTTTACTATCCATTTACCCACTTACTCAGATTGCGTACTTTTATCTTGATTGGAGGTTGTGTGCTGCATTGATTATGTAGAGCGTTGAAAGACCTGAAGAACTCGCTCTGTAATCTGTATTAAGTGCAGTGTAATATATCTTTTTGGGCATGCTAATATATTTATAAACAATTTAAACCAGGTGCTTATTCTTAGCATTAATGTAGATGGTGACGTTTAGCTCATTAAACATAGTTTTGACATTAGATTTTGGTTATCACCAGATGGATGTGGTCTGGTAATTCCATCAAATGTAACTCATGAACTTTTGGTGAGACATCTTATATAGAGAGAAACTTTTATAATGTCTGTCAACGTGTCATTTTTGATATGCTGTAATTGGGTATTCAGTTATGAATTGGATGGTTGCATTATCATCTAATAACTGGAGTTCCTTGCAAAATGTATGTGCCTTAAGGTTGGTCTTGAGTTTTTCTTTTCAGCTTCTCCATTTAAAAATCATTGTCAAGGCTTTTTGATTATTACATTACAATTACAGTTGTGTTGGTTTTCATATGAAGCAAATCAATTCTTTTAATTCTAGCATTTGTTTGGTCTGTCAAGACAAACTTAAAATCACTTGAAATTAAGTTAACCATTTTGATGACTTGTTTATGAAATTGTGTCATCTAGCCATTGAAGTGGAAGAATGATACAGCAGCTTGTGCAGCGGAATCTGCTGACAAGAGCCCGAGTCCTCTTCAGACACCAGTATCAGGAAAAGTGGCAAAGGCCCAAAAAGTTCCAAGGACACCAAAGGCCAGTAAAGCTGAATCTCAAACTCCCTTGGAAAATATTGGTGAGTATTACTGGTATAAATCTTTAATTCCGGATTTTATTTAATTATTACTTCATTCTTGCTTTCACAGTAATGGGGGTTACTGGATAATGAATCTATTCATCTTTTTTTTTTTTTTTTTGTTCCCCCTCTGTCTTCCAATACCTCTTCAGAACACTGGGATCTTGTCCAGCTTATTCTGAGAGAGCAAAAGAGTACAAAGGAAAAGAATGATTAACTTTCATAAATATCTGCTATGAACTCACAGGTTCTCATTCCGGCAATAATCTCACTCCAGCTGGTGCCTGTCGATATGATAGCTCCCTAGGTAATTTATTATGCTCGTGGCTTTGAATTTTTCACCTTTTTTTCCCTTCCTATTTTTGCATATCCTGATTGGAGTGATATATTTAGGACCTACCGATAACAATGTCATTTGACTTAACCAGGTCTCTTAACAAAAAAGTTCATTAATCTGATCAAACGTGCAGAAGATGGTATTCTTGATTTAAATAAAGCCGCTGAAACATTAGAGGTGAATATATCTTCCCATTGATGCTTCACATTTGGTTAAATCCAATAAACTGAAAGTTTTATCTTTTAACAGGTGCAGAAAAGGCGTATATACGACATAACTAATGTCCTTGAAGGCATTGGTCTTATAGAAAAGAAACTCAAAAACAGAATCCAGTGGAAGTACGGAAGCACTTCTATAATTTATAATATGGAAGTTCTTTATTTAAAATGTTATTCCTTTTCTTGGGGATCAATCTGAAAATGAGAAGTTGCTAATGGATATAATTATCAAGTAGGGGGAGTCTGGATGTCTCAAGACCAGGGGAAGTGGATGAGAGTCTCCCTAGCTTACAGGTATGATCTCAAATATAAATGAATTGTTTCTTGACATTCACAAAGTTCGAAGACTTGGGTATAGTTCCAATCCAGTTGAAATACATGTCCATCTGCATGTGCATAATCTGATATCTTTGTAGTTCTTTTTTTTTTCCTGCCGATTTTGCTTTTTAGCTTATTATTTTTATACTCCATTCTTACCATGTCTTTCTGGTATTGTTTGTGCTACTCGTTTTTTAATGTATTCTATCCATGCATCAAATAACCTGAGTGAAGCTGTTCGATATCAGAAAACAAGATTGACATAGCCATCAGTGATCAGAAATTTCGTGAAAAATTCCTTTCTATCTCCGAAAGAAACACTTTCAAGCAACGTTAAATATTGTCTCTATTAAGTTCATTTATGTTCCTCCAAATGCTGCTTCATTTCCATTCAATGATATACTAATGCTTCTCCATGACCAACGAGCTATAATTTTTCAAACTAAAAGGGAAGAGAGATGGGTTCGTACTTCCAGAAGTTGCTAGATTCAGTCCTCATCAGCTCTTTGCACCCCTGCAGGCTGAAGTAGAAAACTTAAATATGGAGGAGCACAGATTGGATGAACAAATAAGGTATTTTGATGCCTCTGAGACATATTTGTTCTGGTAGTGTCCTAATAATGCTGAGGCTTCTGATCTGTTTACTTGTTTCAGAGAAATGCAAGAGAAATTGAGAGGCTTCAGTGAAGATGAAAACAATCAAAAGTAAAGCACTCCTTGCTATATTATGTGGATCATTTGGCTCGTTCCCTTTTGTGTTGATACTTGTCATGCTTACGTTGCTTCTTCACCAGGTGGCTTTTCGTGACTGAAGAAGACATCAAGATTTTACCTTGCTTTCAGGTATTTCACATCAGTTCTTCCCTGCTGCTTTCATTGGTCGGTAGATTCTTACTGAAGCATTGGTATGTTTATTTCGTCAGAATAAAACTTTGATAGCAGTTAAAGCTCCACATGGCACCACTTTAGAAGTTCCAGATCCTGATGAGGTAGTTTTCTTTACTTTCTTCTGAAAAAGCAACCAATACCTTAGAGCCAAGTATTGCAGAAGAATCTGTGCCTGCATAAATACTCGTGAATTGCCTTGATTTGTTCAGGCAATTGATTATCCACAGAGGAGATACAGAATAGTTCTCCGGAGCAGTACGGGACCTATAGATGTGTACCTTGTCAGGTACTTCTTTCTTGTAAGAAAGTGCATTCATTGTTACCTTCAACCTTTTTATCAAGGCGGACCCTCGATTTTAAGGGAGAAAATTGATCAACTGATATCTTTTATGTTTTCTATTTGTTTCTGATTATCTGCTCGCCAATGTAATTTAGTCGATTTGAAGAAAAATTTGAGGAGAGGAATGAGGTCGAGGTGCAACCAAGCATCCCATCAACATCAACACTTAATGAGAACACTTCTGCGACACCAGCAACTGAGGAGATAAGAGTGAACGGAACTGAGATTCAGAGCCTAGAAGCTCAGAAAATGTGCTTAGAAACAAGTGCGTCGCAGGATTTTGTGAGTGGAATCTTGAAGATTGTGCCAGATGTTGATGTAAGTCATTTTCATGAGAATGGTATAAATACAATTTGATTGAATATTAAAAGATGCAGATTGATATGAACTATTGACATTAATGACATTTTTAGAATTGCTTCATATCACACACATTGTTTTCCATTAGCAACTGAGTCACGTTTTAAAAACTATGATTGTCACACAGCTTTCTAACAGTGAAATGTAAAGTATGAGAATACAAATTTAATGATACAAGAAAGCATGAAAAAAATTGCCTTTTATGTTGCTGAAATGTTACGGAGGGGACAGGAATGCATTTTTTCATATACAAGTTGCTCAATTGCTAAATATGCTTGCTTTAACATTTACAGAATGATCCCGATTATTGGTTATTGTCAGATGCCGATATAAGTATCACTGACATGTGGAGAACGGATCGTATCCTAACTATTGTCTCTTTTATGCCTCTCTTTTGAATTTTTTCGTAAGATGTGTTCTACAACATTCCATGACTCTCGACTATAGCTGGGGTTAACTGGGAAAGCTTGAGTACAGTTCATGAAGACTATGCCTTGCCTAATGTTAGCATACCACCTGCCCAAAATCCACAGCTTGAACCAATTGAAACACCTCCTATGGGTTCAAGTGGATTTGGTGGTGATCCTCGATGAAGATAGCTCATGGTTGTTTTAAAAGAGGAAGATGCTGGAAGCCTGTAGGAGGAGAGTGCCTAAATCATTCCTCATACCATGCTATCTACTTTGAAATTACCTCGAAGTCGTCTTGGAGTTAAACCTAGATCCTTAAAAAAATCGACATGGTGCCAGAGTCAAGAAAATGGAGGGAGTAGGTAAGTGGATCATTGTATAATATTTGCTTAGACAATTCCTGTAATAGCAATAAATTTTTCAGTCAGATTTAATTCCTGTATATCATCAATTTTTTGGTGGCATCTTGTCATGACAGAGAGGCTGTTGTGTATAATATCCTTCCAAATTAGATGCAGGTTTTGAAGTTCCCTTTCGGTTGTATACAGTAATGTGTCCTATTACAGTTATGCCTTGTGCAGGATCAAACCCCGATATTATTCCTTAACATTGTAATAGGTTCACTTAATGTAGTTTAACAGAAGTTTAGAAATTATTCTGTCAATTAATTCTCAGCCAGTGTTCATCCTGATTGCTGGTATGGAATTCATCTGGAGAGTTCTCGTGTCAAACCCGAGTGTGTCGTTGAAGATTGTGGTTCACTTCATGGTCGAGTTCTTCCATCCTGTACATTCTACTCTGGATTCGGGCCCCGGTTTTCCATCATATATATAGATCACGTGCTTATTGCTTTTGCATCGTAGGCCAATTGAGTATTAATCAATATTATGAAAATATTAAAAAAAAAAAAACTAACACTCTTTTCTTTTAAAAGATTTTTTAATATTCTCTGATCTTTTCAAAGCATGTGCCATTGGATTAATGAAGAAAAACCCAAGATATTTCCCAGAAGAATTAATCGAATTTATTATATCAATCAAATAATTGATTATCAACAATTAAGTACAATCCTATTGAGTCATTATTAAAACACTTCTAATCCATACAATATTCCAGCATATTTTTCATGCCCATGATCCACAAAATAAATATCCCTCATTTTCTGAAATGCATGCCACGTCAGCAAGCTATCTGACCCGGCCTGGTGACACTTTCCGACAACCCGGTCCACGTCCAAAGCCCGGGCCACCCGGTCCAATCCACCGTACAAACTCTGACAGAACCGCATCAAGTATTTGATATCGTAAACGTTATTCCCGAAAAAGGCCCTGAGAATTTGGAAAAAGTCGTTCAACTCACTCGGCAACGCGCGGCGCGTGAGAACCTTCACCAAGTACCCGAAATCATACGCGCTGTGGAACGTCACCCAACTAACGGACTCGTTGCACACCAACCCGGAACACATCATCAACTCGGCAAAACACGCAGAGTCGATACCTGATTCCCGGTTCTTCTCAAAATCAATCCCGTGGTTTTTCAACAATTCAATCGAGTCCGGGGCGTGAGGATCACGCGAAACATCGAAGTCGGAGAAATTGAACTGCCAAATGAATCGCTGGCCTGATCCGAGATCGGGGAGGTTTCCGGAGGCGTCGGAGAGAGTAAGCCCGAGCTGGATCAAGTTCAAAACGTCAACGTTTGACTTGAGGGTCTGGTAGTGATCTGAAGGTGACAGTCTACGTGGGCCCCGCCCCAATTTGTTGGCCGTGTTCACTTGCTGGGGCTTGAAGACAACACCGGGGAATTCTGTATCCATGGAAATAAAAGGGTATTCGTCAATGAGATTTGAAATCAATTTGAACTCCGATTCCAGATTTTCACACCATACTTCTCGGATCGTTATGGGTTTGTGAGGATTATGACAACTATTGTCAGATTTCATGGTTGCAGAAAATTCCAATTTTCGTTGATCGACAGAATTGGAAAGAAAATTAGAGAGAAGGGATTGTTATGGTTTAGAGTGGGGAGTAGTGGGTGCGTTATATACGAAGAAGAATAGGGTTCATGATGTTGCTTAGAAAGCGTATGGTGGGGTAGTGGTGATTCCAAGTTCAATGCATGGAGTTTGACTGATAGAGAATAGTGAGTGAATATGTAACGTAAGAGAACGGGGACTGAGTCCAAATACACGGCTGGGCGGCTCCAAATGGGTCAACTTGCGTAGGTTTTTTAATTTGGTCCTACAAAATATTATGCGCGTGAAAGTTGTGTTTATTTTCTAACGGGTTAAATTTATTGGTGGCCTCCCAACTTTATACTTAATGTTATCATGGTCACCCAATTTAATTTTATTTCATTATGGCCACTTAATTTTATATTTAATGTCACTATGACCACCCAATTTGATTTTATTTCACCAAAACCATCCAATTTTATATAATGTTTCACTGTGACCATCCAATTTTCATATAACATTTCAACATGACCACTCAACTTCTTTTTATCATTTTCATTAATTTTAAAATGGGCAAAACGGTAACTTTGCATCAATGATTGGTGAACCGAAAGATCCTTTTGCAACCCCTTTGAAAATATTACCAGAATGGTATTTTTTTCCTGTATTTCAAATACTTCGTTCAATGCCCAATAAATTATTGGGTGTTCTTTTAATGGTTTTAGTACCTGTGAGATTATTAACAATACCCTTTTTAGAGAATGTTAATAAATTTCAAAATCTATTTCGTCGTCCGTAGCGACAATCGTCTTTTTGATTGGTACTGTAGTCGCTCTTTGGTTGGGTATTGGTGCAACATTACCTATTGATAAATCCCTAACTTTAGGTCTTTTTAAATTTGATTCAATTGTGAAATAACACGACATGTGTATCTAGGGAATAATCGCTTGAAAGCGAATTCTCCCTAAATGCATCTATTCAATTCTGAATTTCTTTGGAATATATGAATCGAGTTAAAGATTCAAAACCTATTTCATCTTAATGAAGAAAGACAAAAAAAATTCAATAGATTTAAAACTTCTTTTTTGGTAAATCAATTGCGAAATGTTTTTCTAGAATGATCAATATCTGTTTTATATCTTCTAGGCGCAAATTACGAGCTTGTTTTATAGCAATAGTAATTAATCGTTATTACTTCAAAGTCAATCTATTCACTCGTCTAAATAATATATTTTCTTGTTCACTAATAAATCGACTAATTAAACTCATGTTTCTCTAATCAATTCGATCCCCCGATTGAAGAGGGGGCAAACGCCTATGAAAATATTGCTTGGATTTAAGAAAATGTCGCTTGGATTTATCCATGGTTTTTTGTTTAGTTTTATTTCTTATCTCAAAATCCTAATTTTCTTTCTTAATTGTAATTCATTTTAATCCAAAATAGGATTTTATTTATTTTTCTATTTAAATATGTTTTATACAATGTCATTTTTTCCCCTTCCTTGAAAGACTAAGATATAATCTGTTCGATCTATTTCTTTATTTCTCCATGAATCATATGTGGTCATGTTGACAAAAAGTGTGAAGTTGGATGGCCACAAGTGAATTTAACCCATTTTCTAACACATATATAAAATAGTTTAATTTGAAAGGAAAATTCTCACTTGATGATTGCTTCAAGACGCCTTTCTCCTGGACCCCACCCTCACTCCACAATTCCCGTGTAGACTTTGACTTTTGGTCAACATTATACTCTTTCAACAACATCTTATCTTTATCAAATTTTAATTGTATAGTAATGTAATGTCATGTAACCCATGTTTGGAAGGGATTAAAATTTTAATTTTAATTTAAGTCAAAATCAATAATTAATTTTAATTATATATTTCCTGAAAGTCGCTATTTTTCAACAATATATTTTATCAATTTTTATAAAAATCTATTAAAAATCCACCTTTAATCTCGACCAAAGTCACCAAACAGGAGTGTAACATTATTAGTGCTAGCATTAATCTAATATTATTTATCTTAGAGAGAATTGAGTCTCAAAAAACTTTTTAAATTAACAATTTAATTTAGAGAGTGAGTTTGACTCTCCAAATTCATTCTCTACAATTAAATACATTCAAAATATCTCAATTTTTAATTGAATGAAATAATATAATAATTTGGAGAGAAAGTAATAAAATAAAAAATAAGAAAAAATATCTTTTGAGAATAATAAAATTAATTGTTAAATATAAAGAGCCTATTTGAGTACTTACGATTTTTACTTTTAAAATGTATAAATATTATTTAAATTGTAGAATATGCTCTCCAAAAATATAGAGTCGCTTGAAAATGCTCCTAAGCATGTTGACCAACATTATAAGGATTAGATTGGACTGACTCTTTCAATTGAAGAAATTGGGGATCTAAAAGCCAGTTGGAAAGTCTTGGAGCTAACAGGTTGAACCATTTTTTAAGTAAGAAGAAATTTATTTATCCAACACTCGATATCTTTTTTGCAATGTTGGCAGTGACTTAGGCTTGCTTTGGAGTTTTTTTTTCACCAATTTTAAATTGATGCTTGTTGATGTTTTTGGACATCGATTTTAGATGATTTAAAAATCATTCAAAATCAGTGTAATTTAATTTTGACCGTTATTAAATTGACTGGTTTTGACCGTTTATCATATTCTCTTCTAATTTTATCATTTATAAAATAATTATTTACAAGTAATATATTTGATTCAAAACTAATTTGTAAATAAAAATACATTAATTAAGAAATTATTTTTAAGCAAAAAAATTACTTTATAATTGAAAAGTTTACTTATAGGTAAAAAATTACTTATAAAATAAAATATTATTTTTGCGCAAAAAAATGTTTATAGAGTAAAAATAAAATTAATAAAACAAAAAATTACTTATAAAAAAATATTAACTTAAAATTTTATTGATGAAGAATGTGTGGTTAAAAAAGAAGAAAAAGTTATTGATGTGATGGAAAATATTATTTTATTGAAGAATGTGTGATTGAAAATGAGTAGAAGAATGAAAATGAAAATTTTAATGTGGCTCAAACATGGACTTATATCTAAAGTGTTTGAAAGATACAATTTCAAAATTAAGAAATTTAATTTGAAATTTCAAAAGTCGGATCATAATTAAATTTTATTAATTAAATAAATGATTAAAAATATTTTATTAATAAATATATTAAGATCAAAATATTATACAGTTTATGATCACAATTATTTATTAGTCACAATTACAAAACGTCACAGTCACAATCACAAAACACAAATCTTATAAATCACAGCAGTCACAAAAATATAAATTATGAGTTACAATTACAAATTTAATCTTAATCTTACATTTTTTGGACAATAAATTATTTATTGGTTACAAATTACCTATTTTATCGATTACATAGTATTCATTGGTCATAAATTAACTGTTTTACTTATCACAATTGCTCAAATAATTTGTCACAAAATGCTCTTCATCTCATCACACTTTACCCCTACCTTACCCAATTTCGCCATGATTGACACCAATCGAATGTCGTGCCACCTTGTTGCCGCTGCCGCCGCCACCACCACCACCAACTAAAAGTCTTCTCACTGCACCACCAACAGCCACCATTTGCAACTGCAAAACAACCATCACAATTTGCAAACCACCACACACAAAAAAAAAATAAAAATAAATAAACAATCACTCTCACTAAACAAATCGAAGGTGGAAGAAACCACCCCAAGTTGCGCGCATAGTAACGAGGCGTCACCGCGCGCACTGGTGACAACTATTGAGGGCGGTCGATGCCATATAAGAGAAGGAAGATGAGGAGCACGTGCATGTGGGAGTTGGAATCTTAGAATTTGGGATTTGGATGTGTATGATTTAGAGGAAAAAGATGGAGGAATAAGAGAAATTTTAATAATAATATTATAAATATTAACAAGTGAATCACGATATGATTTTTGAATAAAGTGGTTAGAGTTGAACGTGCATTGCACGTTATTCTAAAATTTTTTAAATTTAAGAACCGGTGATTAATAAATTCTTAAGAATGTGTTGGATTGTTTTAAAAACTATTACTAAAACCACTAAAAATTGATCCGCTTATAAATACTTAAAATCGATACTTTAAAAAACGCTCATAACCGTTACGCTAAAACTCCCAAGCAGGCCCTAGAGTAGATTTTTTGGATGCAAACGCAAGTTTGCCCAAATTTTCACGTGTTTGATATTTGATGGCCAATAGCTCACATTGGCTGGCAACGGGAGAAGACAACATGTTTATAATTAAAATAGATTAATAAACTCTTAAGAATATGTTGAAATAAATAAATTTTTATGAGCATCACAAATATTTCCGAAAGTTTTGATGAGTTTAGGTTTTTGAAACGGGCGCAAAAAAAAATTAGTATATAAAAAATTCAAAGTTTTTGCGTAATCTAGCATCAAATTTGACCACTAGTTACATTGGGGTCAAAGAGATTGGGGAAAGTACGGTGTAAAATTATACGAACGTTGAGTTAAACTTTGATAGAATTTCAATGTTTTTAGTTGCTACTAAATTTGAATTTATAGAAGTTTGGTAGATTGATCAACGATGAGAGTAAGTAACATTTTGTGGTAGAACAATATAAAATAGAGTGTTTTCATAATCATTTATCGATAACTTTACATATTTTTCATTTATTTGTCAATTTATAACCGTTTTTATTTAGATGGACATCGTCGTCCTTCTTGGAGAGAAGCTGCGAGATTTGAGATGATTGTTGAGGCTTATTAAGAATTGATGTTCCATTTTAACATGTCAATTTTATTAAGAGGAGTAGCCCAATATCTTTATTCATTGTAAAAGGTCAACCTTATTAAGAGGAGTAATCCAAGATCTTTATTAATTGGGCTGTGTCAACATCATTTATCGATGTAGGATATATATCCCTTAACAAGCCCCCGCAAGATGGTGGCTCATTTGAGCAAACCAATCTTGAAATCCACGTGCTCATTTTAGAATCTTAACGTTATCGAATCTTTCGTTGAAGGATAATGGACTCTGATACCATATTAAGAATTGTGGTTCCATCTTAAAAGGTTAATCCTTTTAAGATGAGTAGCTCAATATCTTTATTAATTGATCTGTGTCAACATCATTTATCGATGTGGGATATATATCCTTTGACAAGGCTACACACTTGAAGTCATATCGACCAAAATTTTACTTGAGCTTAACACATGCATATACAACAAACTACCATACAAAAAAACAAAGTCAACAAAAATATTCTCAATAGAGAAATAAATTTTTTTTTTAAAAAAAATTATATTTTCATTGTATAAATCCTCTATCATACATAGTTGGACATGTCTAACATTTCATTAATAAAATCTTCAAAAAATATATTAAAAAATCTCAGGAACAAGAAAATTACTTTCTTCAACCTTAAAAAAACCTCTGTAATAACTAATGAAATTAACGAAGTAAAATCAAGAACGAGGCAGCGAGAAAAATGGCCACTCCAGTAGCAATAAAGATCATGTCCAAGCTCCTCTCTCGCCTCTGCTTTCTCTCTCTATACTGTAGCTTCATCTTCAAGAACTGCTCATAACTTTCTCTCTCTATATCTCTGTTACTTTTTCTTCTTTCTCCATCCATGGCGTCATGTAAAATTCCCAAACTGTCACTCCCATTCAAGATTTTCCCATCCATGTCCTCCACCTGCAGTGTCACTTCCTTTACCTGTAATTCTTCTCCGTCTTTCCCGCCGCAAGTAACCACCACGCCACACTGCACAAAATCCCCACCGCCGGAGGGCATCACGGTGGTGAAACGAAGCCGTATGTCCTCGGTTAGCCAGTGCTGCCGTGTTTCCACCGGGGTCGTGCTTGCCACGTTCACTGCACGTTTCTGTTTTGGGTCTATCAGAATCCAGGATACTCTCATGTGCTGCTCCAGAAGTGCAAGGCAAGCGCCCTCGTCTCCGTCGAAATTCACCGGCGCTGGCACCGTCTCTTTCCGTTCCAGAAGGTCAAGGCTGAAGGGCGAACACAAGAACCACCCCGAAAGAGTTTCAGTTACCATGACTTTGGAGTATAATAACTTTTCATCATAGTAAATATCTACTGCTGATATTAATTCTGTCGTTTCCGGTGGCGGGCGGTGTCGATGGGATTTTTGGGAGCGGGGGAGGTGGTGGAGGGTAGGGAAAGATTGCGAGTAGAACGAACGGTGGCCAGAAGGGAAGTGAGAAATGGCATCGTTTACACGGCGGTCGCCGGTGGAGGGCCAGGTGGAGTTACAAAGATCTCGCCACAGAGTATCTTCCGTGCAGAGAGAATGTAATTGTGTTGAAGCACAGGTGGTGGAAGCAAGGGTTTGTCCATCAAGCCTATTCAAGATGTGGGATTGAATGATATCGGGATGGATGGCTGCAATACTTGTGTCTCCGTTGTCTTGATCGGGGGTTTTGGCCGTGGCGGTGGGAGTGGAACAGTAACACATGAATCTTTTGTTAAATTTTTTGTCGTCTGTGTTTAAGCAAGGAAAAAAATGGGGTATTTGGATGTGATTTTTATAGGGGATCGGGGTTGGTCGAAGGTAGAGTCAACCGTGGCATGTTAGAATATTTGGTTTGTTTGAACGGGTAAAGTAGAATCCACGTTTGAACTTTGACTTTATCCGTTTAATGTGTGGAGAAAAAATTGATCATATTGTCATGCAACTATTATTTAAAAAATGGAAAAGCACTTTTTGGTGGGAAAAACAGAGTCAGATTATTTCCAATAAGTAATTTAATTATGGTATATTTGGGCACGTTGAACTTTGATTTATCCCTCTAATGTGGAGAAAAAAAAAAGATCATTATCGTCGTGCATTATTCATATAAAATGTGCAATGTGGTAAAGCACCTTTTGGGGAAAAAGTAATTATGCTAAAGTTAATTTAGCTTATTTTCAATAAATAATTTAATTATGGTAATTTTGACCTATTAAATTGGACAATGTTGCACACTCGACTAACAATCTTGGGGGTGTCCACTGCCTACCAGACTAGTACTAAGTTTCAGTGGTGTTATATAGAGTGTGTTTGAGACATGTTCTTTTGAAAGAATGTATTATTGAATAGTAGATTGATGGAAAATGTGTGATTAAAAATGAAGGAAAAGTTATTGATGTGATGGAAAATATTATTTTATTGAAAAATGTGTGATTGAAAATTAGTAGAAGAATGAGNATTTTATTGAAAAATGTGTGGTTGAAAATAAGTAAAAGAATGAGAACGAAAAAAATAATGTGTATCAAAGAGGGTCATAGTCTTATTCAATGAATAAATGTTATACATCTAGAAGTAGGTGGAGCCCACTACCACCTAGACTTGTATTGGTGTTAGATTCATATTTGTTATTTAAAGAGTAATGTTACATAGTTTCACTAGTGTTACAATCGTAATTTCGGTTGCACTAATTTAACTTATTATCTAATGTCATATTGCGGTCGCCTAAATTGGAGTTGCGAAATCCCAATGAGATTAAATAACATTACTCCTTAAATGGTCTAGTTTGAGTTGTTGAACATTTAATTAAACCATTTTAAAATTTTCTCTTATCAAGATATGTCTAATCAAACATTTGGTTATAAGTAACACAAAAAAGAATATATACTTACACAAAAAAAATTTGGGATAAAATGGAATTTTGAATAGTGATTTTTTAGAGAATGTATGGTTGAAAAGTAGAAAATATTTTTGAATTTACATACACAATATTTTATTGTGTGAACATGTGATTGACAATGAATATGTAGAAAAAAAAAGTTTTGAAATAATGATTATTAAAAAATTTTAATTGTTGTAATGCATGTCAATTTGATGAAGGCAGGCTTTTCTAAGATTATCGACGGAATAGAATCACTAGTCATTTGTATAATTGTTATTGACAATTGTGATTGACAACATTGACGTTGTCAAAATATGAATAATTGATTAGATGAATATAATATTATTAATTAAAATTATATATAAAAAAATTTGTACAAGTAGCATGATTGCAGTCATTTACCGAACACGAAACACCAAGAGTACGAGAAAGGCTGTAATGTGTACTGTAAAGTCGGCCAATCCGAGTTCCTCTATGATTTCAGTGCCACAATGTGAATGATTGTAGTATTTATGGGTAACATATACGTAAAGAAATTATTAAATTTCTTTTGATATATAAGTTATATAAAGTGAATGATATATAAGCAATTTGGGGTACACTTTTTAGTGCAATCCATGAACTCATTATTAATGCTCTAAGATTGTGAAAGGATAGGCCTTGGGCTTTTAACCCTATGGTAACTCCCGCTTGCTACAAAGCCAATTCCACCTTACGGGGAATCGAACTCTGCANAAGCCAATTCCACCTTGCGGGGAATCGAACTCTGCACACTACCGCGCTGAGCCCTAACCGCCCTCCCCTTTGCCACTGGGAGATATGCCCTGGGGGCAATATAACTGGGTTTATAGTAATGATAAAAAATGGAAATGTCAGAGGAAAGAAAAGTAAATTAAATTATTTTTCATTTTAATGTATAGTTCTACTTAACAATGCGTACTAATCATGATTAATTTTTTTAATTTTTATTTTTTTTTCTTTCATTTTTTTAAGTAATACATAATTTGACAACATAGTACTCGATATGGAACCATGAGGCTTGATTATGATCGAGTTCATTTCCTTTTGCCAAATGACTCATTTATTGTGGCCGATCCCATTTTCGCACAATTTAATCCAAGTCAAAAACGACCTTAATATTTTCTAGATTATTTTAAACATTTAAAAGAATTTATGTTTAATGTAGAAACCAAGGGTGAGCGTGAATTGGGTTGAGTCAATTTTTTCCTCAACCAAAAACCAATTCAATATGGTCGATCTTAGATTAAACCAACACAACCCAAACTGATCAAGTTTGGATAAAGTCCAATCCAATATGGCCGATTTTAGATTAAACCAACTCAACGCAAATCGATCAAGTTTGGATCGATTTGGATTGGAATGGTTAGTTCGGGCTTCAACTCAATAAAAGTTGAGTTCAATTACTTTTTGTTAAATCTAGACAATTTTTAAAAGTTTGAAATTACTTGAAAATCTTCGTTTATTTTTTAACACCTATATAAGGAATTCTATCTAAAAAATAATGTATAAATAAGTTTAAAATTATGATGTATTTTCTTTTTTACATTTTTTTGGGATTCATTATTATATCTTTAATTTTTATTTTATCGTTAAATAATTTTGCATTTGTCCATAGTATTCATATCCATCAATTTATGTAAAAAAAAAATTAAAAAAAAATGGACGTTTATAAATTATAAGTCATTTTCTTATCTTCACCATTGTGTCTATTTAATTTTTTTTTTTAATTTACATATATATTTTTTAATTTATCGGGTTGGGTTGGGTTATGTTGAGTTTTAATTCATAATCCGAAACCCAACTCAACTCAACTTCAAATCTGATATTTCAACTCAACCCAACCTAGTTGAACTTAAAAATCAATCCAAATCGATGAGTTTAGGTTGGGTTGGTCGGGTTGAGTAGTTTGGATTAGATTTTGTCAAGCCCTAGTAGAAATGTCTAAGATATAACAGATGATCAAGACAAAAGTCAAATACAAGATTTAAGCCACAAATCATGCTGAAAATAATCATCCGAAATCAGTCTTTCTAAAATTAATGTTTCTGTAATCTTTACATTTATGGCTGTATATTCTTTACATTTATTGCTGTATATTTTTCAGTTACATTTCTCTGTATATAACATCTATGGATGATAGAAATGAAAGTGTGTAGATTTTCATATTCAAAGAGCAGTACATTTTCCTCTATATGGTATCAGAGCACCCAGTCTCTAACGAGCAAGTGAATCCTGTATCCACCATGGCTTTCTCTCCCAACCAAAATCAAATCAATCCTAATACCCAACCTATTTCCCCCATAGAAATTCCCCTCATAGCTCTCAATATTACTGCTCAAATAAATGAAAAGCTAACACCCTCTACGTTTCCACAATGGAGGGCTCAATTTGAAGCCCTTCTCATTGGCTAAGACCTGCAATATCCCAAACCAAATGGCAACTCTGTCACCGTCGCCCACAAAACTCACTGGGTTAGACAAGACAAACTCATTCTGAGTACTCCACTTATTGCTACTGCCAAAACTTCCTCCGAAGCATGGAAGAAATTAACCTCCTTGTATGCTAGCAAATCAAGGACAAGGGCAATGCAATTAAAAGAGGAAATCATCTTGATTCAACGTGGAAACAGACCCATCACAGAATATCTTCATGCGGTCAAAGCGTTGGCAGATGAAATTGCCATCATTGACCACCTAATTTCTGATGATGACCTAACTTTGTATGTTTTACATGGTTTAGGTCCGGATTTCCGTGAAATCGCAGCCCCAATTCGAGCAAGGGAGACCCCGCTTGCTTTTGAGGCTCTCCACGACCTTCTAGTTGGCCACGATAACTATCTTCGGCGGATAGAAGCTACGAACCAGTAGCTGGTGGCGGCTGCCAATTTCACTTCAAGGAAATCTGGTTCGGGTGGAGTACAACAGATGAACAATGGCCAGAAACAAGTCTCTGGGCAAGGTCAAAATCGAAGCCCAAACTCACAAGGATCAAATCGTGATGGACGACGAAATGGGCCCTCTCGATCTTATGGAAACTAACGATATTACAAGCCAAAATGTCAGCTTTGTGAACAAATCGGTCACACGGCTAAGAGCTGTCCACAGTTACGTCAAAGTGAATTTACAGTTAATAGTGCCAATACCTCCACTGCAAAAGATCAGAAATGGCTCATTGACTCAGCCGCATCACATAACATCACTGGTGATCTTCAAAATTTGAGCATTCACTCTGAATACGATGGCACAGATGAAGTAATTCTTGGAGATCGTTTAGGTTTGGCTGTCTCACACATTGGGTCATTATCTTTGCATTCACCTAAAAGAACCTTTATCCTCAAAGATACTCTTTGTGTTCCCAACATAAATAAAAATTTAATTTCTGTGCATCATTTTACCTCTCAAAATAACGTCTATGTTGAGTTTCACCCCTCTCATTTTCTTGTGAAGGAACAGATTACGGGGGCAATTCTACTCAAAGGTGCGTGTGAAAACGGCGTTTACATCTTTCCGGACTCCTTGGTGGGCTCTTCTTCAAAGTTGGTTGCTAATGTGCATGAGCGGACCTCGCTTGATGGGTGGCACAAGTGTCTTGGACACCCATCCTCAAAAGTTGTTCAACATTTACTTTCCAATTTTTCTCTTCCTGTTTCTTCCAATAAAATGTCTTCATTATGTAGCTCTTGTTCTATTAATAAAGCCCATCAACAACCATTTCACATCACAAGTCTCCAAAGTAATGCTCCTCTTGAAATTGTTTACACGGATGTTTGGGGGCCCGCTCATTATACTGGTCTTGATGGTTCACGATATTATTTAATTTTTGTGGATCATTATACCAAGTATATATGGTTTTATCCTATGGCAAATAAATCGGGTGTATCAAGTATTTTTCCACAATTTAAATCTTTTGTGGAAAAACATTTTCAAGCAAATATCAAAACTCTTTACTCTGACAATGGTGGTGAGTTTGTTAAACTTAAACCTTTTTTAAACCTTCATGGAATAAGTCACTATACCACTGCTCCTCACACACCACAACAAAATGGTGTTTCCGAAAGACGTCATCGTCATCTTGTTGAGACGGGTTTAACCTTACTCCATGATGCATCCTTAGCCCTCTCATATTGGCCATACGCTTTTAGAACCGCCACATATCTCATAAATCGACAACCCACCCCTCTTCTTCAAAACAAATCTCCTTTTGAAAAACTTTTTTCCCAAAAACCAAACTATCTTAAAATGAGAAAGTTTGGGTGTCTTTGTTACCCTCTCACAAAACCATACAACACTAACAAAATGCAGCCAAAATCGGTTCCTTGTATTTTTCTTGGATACTCACAAACCCAAAATGCATATATTTGCATGGATCCAAGAACAAACAAGACCTATATGTCTCGGCATGTCATGTTTAACGAAGCCGAAACCGGACTTCAACAAGCCCATGGCCCGAATCAAAGATCGGAACCCCATTTCACTTCCAATTTGTGTCCTACCTCCTTCATTTCCTCCCCTCCTCCATCAGTGCAAGTTCCCCAAGCACAGCAGCAGCCAATGCCATCTTCGTCGGAGCAGCACTTCACCATGGGTCTAGATGATGTCTTCGTCATTGCCGCATCAACTTCAGGTAACCCTTGTTCTGTAACTTCAGTTCCAGCTTCTACATCATGCTTACCTGATAGATTTGATGTATTTCATTCGAACCCCTCGCATGAAACCCAAGAAACACATAACACTCAATTGCCTCAAGCTGAAAATCAACCACATGGAGAGGCCGAACCCCATCGCATCCACAAAATGACCACACGGTCAATGAATAAAATTTTCAAACCCAAACAAATTCACACGGTCTCCAAGCACCCACTCCCACAAACTCTAGAACCCACATGTGTGAGTCAAGCCATAAATCATCCTCAATGGCGTACTGCAATGTTTGAAGAGCTCACAGCTCTCATGAGGCATGGAACTTGGGATCTGGTTCCATCTCCTCCAAATTGTCACCCAGTAGGATGTAAATGGGTATTTAGGGTAAAAAGAAAATCTGACGGCTCTGTGGAACGATTCAAAGCCCGCCTTGTGGCCAAAGGCTATAATCAACGTCCAGGCTTAGATTACAAGGAAACCTTCAGCCCTGTGGTTAAACCAGCAACCATTCGGATTGTGTTGTCCATTGCTGTAATGCATGGCTGGAAATTGAGGCAAATGGATGTAAATAATGCCTTTTTGCATGGAAATCTCACTGAAACAGTCTTTATGATGCAACCACCCGGGTTCAAAGACTTATCAAAGCCAAATCATCTGTGTCGACTCAGAAAGGCAATTTATGGGCTAAAACAAGCCCCTGGGGCCTGGTATACAGCCCTGAAAAATGCTCTTGTGGACCTTGGTTTTCAGAATTCAAGAGCAGATTCCTCACTGTTTATCTACAAGAAGGGCTCTATTACTTGTTATTTCTTGGTGTATGTGGATGACCTTGTTCTTACAGGGAACGACTCCAAGTTTGTGGATTCAATCATTAGTCAGCTAAGTCAGAGGTTCTCAATCAAAGACATGGGAAATCTACACTTCTTTTTAGGAGTGGAAGTCATCCCCACAAGGGCTGGTATTTTTCTGTCGCAGCACAAGTATGTGCGTGAGTTGCTGTCCAACACCAACATGCAAGGCGCCAACGATGTTTCCACTCCCCTTTCCACAACCACTTCTCTCCAATTAATTGATGGCACTGCAGCTGTAGATAGCACAGAATTCCGACGTATCGTTGGAAGTCTTCAATACTTATCTTTGACACGTCCGGATATCTCTTTTGCCATCAATAAATTGTCTCAATTCATGCACAAGCCAACAACCAATCATTTGACAGCAGCAAAGCGACTTCTTCGCTATCTAAAGAAAACAATTTTTCACGGCATTCAGATTACAAAAAGTCTACATTCAGATTTAACAATATACTCCGATGCCGATTGGGCAGGAAATTTTGATGACCGTACATCCACATCGGCATATATCAGTTTTCTTGGAACCAACCCAATTTCTTGGAGCTCCAAGAAACAAAGAGATGTGGCCAGATCAATTACAGAAGCTGAGTACCGGGCTCTAGCAAACGTCGCAGCTGAAATGATGTGGATTATTTCACTTCTTCATGAGCTTGGGTATCCACCTTAAAAATCCCCCTTATTGCTATGTGATAATCTTGGAGCGACTCATTTAAGTTTCAATCCAGTGCAACACTCCAGGATGAAACATATACAAATTGACCTGCATTTTGTGCGAGATTTGGTTCAAAGGGGTACACTTCAAGTTAGGCATGTACACACTCAAGACCAACTTGCTGATCTGTTAACAAAACCTTTGTCCAGACAAAGAACAGAACTGCTGAGGAACAAGATTGGCATTGCCGATGGAAGCTCAATCTTGCGGGGGCGTATAACAGATGGTCAAGGCAAAAGTCAAACACAAGATTTAAGCCACAAATCATGCTGAAAATAATCATCCGAAATCAGTCTTTCTAAAATTAATGTTTCTGTAATCTTTACATTTATGGCTGTATATTCTTTACATTTATTGCTGTATATTTTTCAGTTACATTTCTCTGTATATAACATCTATGGATGATAGAAATGAAAGTGTGTAGATTTTCATATTCAAAGAGCAGTACATTTTCCTCTATATAAGATGTTAATGCAAGTTGTAATATTGTTTATTCTAGTCAAATTGTATTCTTGTTAGCAAATTGAGTTGAAAATTAATTTTCTAGTAAATTTTAATAAAAGTTGACAAAATGTTTAGTTGAAAAGCTGTTGATTCTATTAAATATGTGATTAAAATTAATTATTAAGTTAGTTTTAGATTAAAATCAAAATTATAATCCCCATGGCATAACAACTTTCATAGTATCAAAAACCTAAAAATTCACTCATGTGGTTGGGAGTACCTAACACCCCAACCGCATGCCTACACGGCCAACCTTCCAGGTTGTGACCACACGTAGAACATGTTTGTCACAAATGCAGCATAGGACTTTGGGTACAAGTTCGTATTTCAATTAAATATAAGAAATTCAATAGGTATCCATATGATCACAACTCTGAAAAAAAGAAAAGAAAAGAGAGGACGAAATTGATTTCAACAATATCTTATATATGTGACTAAAAATAGACCTAACTCAAAGCATTCGGGGGAACTTAGGAAATTTTTTTTGAGGTAGCGTTTTGAAAAAAGGAAAAAGTAAAAAAATGTTTTTAATAAGAACATAAACGATACTTTTGAATACATAAATATCTTTTCAATAATAAAGAGGAGCAATAAAAGTTTCAATCTTGTTAGATGCACATTCTGGTTTACATTCTAACTTATCGAATTTACACTTGGCGCAAAACGCAATCTCACGCCATCTTTTACATATCACACATTTAATTCAACAATCACAATCTCGTTGCATCACCCAACAAGGATGTCAAACTTAATGTACAAAGAGCTTAATTCTAAAAGTTTACAATAAATTCTGAAGAATTGGCGCAAAATTGTTTCGAAGGGAATAATTTCTATTATGACTGCATGTTTAATCATAATATAAGTTAGGTCATTGTGGCTTTATTTTCAAATCTTTTTGAGGAAAAAAAATTACATTTTAAAAAGCTTGACTTATGTTTGTATTTGGTTTAGTTTGAAATTTCAATTCTGAAAAGGGGGGATGGTGCCATGTAAATGTGTTTTGGTCTCATTGAAACTTCACTAGGAGTGGTAGTCAATTTTGGATAGCAAGACAGTTCCAATATATATTTCCAATTTCAATGGTATCTCCTCTTCTATTAATAATCTAATGGATAGTCTCCACCATTGTCCTTGTGAACATCTTAAATGCACAAAAAAATTCGTCTTTTTTCTAAAAATATTCATCATTCATCCATATCCATAATGTGCCAATACAAAGGAATTCAAATTTTGATTACTACTCTCGACCTCCTTTTATGATCCATTCTATTAGAGCATCTTCAAGAGACACTATAAACATAACAATCTTTCTATTTTACAGAGTCAGTATTTAAAATTAAGTTCGAAAAGGCTACATATTTTAATTTTTTTATGAAAAGTCAAACCCTTGTTCTATTTTTTCTTCACAATGATAAAAAAAAAAAATCATATCAATATTGATTGGCGTATAAAAAGAATACATTAAATAAAAGATGAGGAAGCATTAATAAATATTTTTCGAAAAAAGCAAAATAAAGAACCAAAATAGAGATTATTATCATAGCGTTTTTCCTTTCTAATTTAAAATGCTCTGTGTTTTGTATAAGATACTCTTTACAAATGCTTTCATTTACTAAAATTAAGACAAGGATTTGAAACTTTACTTTTCGATTCTAATTTTAATCCCGAGCAAGAGACGCGGCGAAAGTATCCATATATGTACATACTGCCAACTCTATGTAATTTTCAATTTTTAATTTCAATCCCTATATCATTTATACATGATATTGACATAAAATATTTTGCAAGAAAAAGTATCTTCCCGTTGTAAGAACGATATCTTACCAACTTGGGTTCGAACCACAACCAAAGACTAGGTGTGAAAAACGAGAAAATTCATACCGTCACAAAATTATGTCATTTGTCCAATAATATCAGCCATAATTAGGGCTACAAGTACAACTTGGTGTATTACAACACATATATAGTTGAAGGAGTGTGACAAATTGGGTCTAGTAATGAATTCCACGGAGTAATGAATAATAACTCAAGTTTTTAGATCAAGTATTTCAACATAGTATCAAGAACATGAAATATTTTATGACTACTCATTTATAAAAATTATGCAAGTGTCAAACCTGGGATGAAAACATGAATCTAACTTCCACGCGATAAGCATGTTCAAGACTATTAAAAAAAATAAAAAATAAAACAAACAAACAAACGTGACTCATGTTTGAAAACTTGTACTTTTAGATGAGGCAATTCATTAAACAGCTGCTCAGAGTCCATTCCTCTTGCAGCATCTCCATTTTCAATCCACAAGGACTGTTTAAGAAAAAGAACAATGAAAATGGGCTTTCATAATAGTAACTTTATACATCAATATCATGGCTCCCACAAGCTTATCCTACTTTCAACTTGAAAGCTGAAGAAGAATTGGAGAAAGCAGAAAATGATGTTGTCCGGGTCAAGTAGGATGAAACCAGAGCTTGGAAACAATTGCTGTAGTGTAAAATCTCAACACAGAAAATTTCAAGTAAACAGGTTAAGGTCAACTTATTCCTAGCTTAGTGCTTTGTTCCAGATGCTGTAAGTGAGAATACAATGTCCAGGCTCTAAATGGTACGGCTGCTATTAGTGTCAATGTCGATCCGGACGAACTTAGGCTTTGTGATTATGTTCAATTCGCCTGAGACTTTTTAGTTCTTTCGAATCTAGGCCCGACCTTCATCATGAAAAGTGTGAGGGGATAGAGAAGACAGTAATCATTGAGAAACCTGCAAAGATGTAGAAAAGAATGTACAATTTAAAGGAAAGACCTATTTTCAAAAGAGAAGTCAATTAAAGTGTTTTCGGAAAATTTGAAATCCTCATAAACTAAAATGAGAGGAAACAGTAGTCATTTGACACCTGACAAGTTGTTGACCTTCCTGAAGAATCAAACTCTTTTAATAGACAAAGATGAATGCACCTCTTTCTACGAATTCTGAGTTCAGTCACTTGACCCTTCTGCATTATCGGGGAAAATAAATTGAAGGTCTTCATTGTCTCGGTAGACTTGCACAAGTGCAGCAGCCTTATATGCAAACAATCCTACCATAGCAGGCACTAGCTGAAGAGAAAAGAGTGAAATATAAATAACAAAAGAGGAGTGAAAGAGCACGTTGAATTGAGGTTAAAAAAATCACTTACAAGTAAATAAGTTAGTTTTAAAAGGAATATTTTCTTTATTGGTCAAAATTAGAAAGTAAGAAAGTTACACATTAAGAGTTACTTCCAAAGTAAATAAAAAGGTAACTTTTACAAAATCCAAACATGTTTGGATACACAAAGTACCTTTTCTCCTTTTTTTGAGTTTAGCAAAACTCATAATACTCAAAAAACTTTGAGAAATGTATATAGTTGAAAGGGAGGTCTAACGAGAAACCCCTTATATTACCTTAAAATCAAAAATATCATTGCCAAAATGTTGAAACAGTTCCCATAGTCCATATATTGCAGCAGGAAAGACAAGCCTTGGAGACGAAAGAGCAATACCACTACCCTTCACGGATCTCTCAAATAGATCCTGCAGATCTTGGCTTCTTATTCCTATTCTGTAGGTAAAAAAATGAAAGTGTGAAGGAGAAATTCACGTAAAAGGAAATGGAGCATAGCACGTGGAAAAGCAAACTTGATACTTTTTTGACTTCTTTTTCATGAAAATTTGTGGAACTTTTTCTTTTGATACATTGTCCGCATGTTTGCATAAGAGTTGGAAGTAAAGGCAGCTGCAGTAATGAAACAATCAAAAATAAATGTCAGATGAACATCAATGGAATTGAAAAAATAAGCAGTCAAGTTTGGGATTTTTTAGTAAATATTTTTTTTTGGCAAGGAAAACAAGGCTATGCTGAATGCACACTATGCCCTCTATCATCAACTCCACATACGGAAAATATAAAAAAAATACAGAACCAAATCAAACATGCATTTTCAACCAAAGAAAATATCACCACTTTTCTCTTTCTACAAAAGTTGTAGGCATCGGCTTCTGGACAACCAGAAAACATATTTCCTTACTGTCTTGTTTTTAGCTATTCTTGTGGACCTTAGGTATATTAACTCAGTCTTTAGGTGCCTCGAACTTGTACAGATAAAGAAATGAAAGGTGTACAAAAATAAAAGTTTAATAACATACCTGAACAACACTCCTGTCATGTAGCTCACAGCAGCCTAAGAAGAAAGGTATCCTTATTAATCAAATATTCTAACATTCCTTTTGGTTAGATGAATGACTTATATAACGTACTGAAAAAGTAAAATCTACACTACTAGGAAAATTAAAATGCTGAAAAAGGTGAAATAAATCTTACCTGTGTATCTAATAAAATAAAAATGAAACTGTTAAGTGAAGTCCATGATTCCACACACCACCTTGGTTTAGAATGGAAATTATAGTAGTGCAATATATCTTTCAATTCATTTGTCAATATTATTTTGGGAAAGAATGACGAGTCCTCGACCATTACATTACAACAAAAAAAGGCTAAGTCATATTCCCAATTTGGGGTCAGCCACAAGAATGCTTCTTGGTCAGTCTGCTTTGTTCATTGCTAGATCAAGTGAGAGATTTAAAGCAACTAAATGCTTAGCAACTACATAAAGCAACTTTAATTTTGGCCATCAAGGCTATTCTAACTTATTTTATGAACTGGCGTGTCATTCTTATGAAATGGCCCTCCTTAAGTCTACACAAAACAAAACATGACTCAACCTCCTAACTCATCGTTACCTTAATTTAAATTAGTCGGCGTCATCTCCAATTATTGGTGTATATTTTCATTTCTTATCTTATCTACAACTGATCATTGCATTACCTGAGTTTCATAAAATATGTTCACTTTATGAAAATGACTTTTCGCCATTCTTTTAGGCATTAAATGTTTGGTCTTCATGGCAATAGATGAAGTAGAATGACAAAAAAGAGAAATACAAGCAAGTGGAGATAATTACTAGTATTTGCAATCAAACAAAAGCTTTATTTTCCCAATAAACATATCACGATGTTCTTAAGCTTGAGTGTGCCTTTGCACCATTACCTGGACTGATAAAGCTATCAGACAATATCCACCGCATGCAGTTCCAATGCTCACAGTCAAAAGAAGCAGTTCCCTCTTGAGCTGCATTTGAAAGTGAAAATCTTCTGCATCTTACTATGTTTGAAAAACTCTTGAGAGAGATACTTTCTCTTTAGTGTATTCATGGAAATTCATAATAAACATAATCTCCAGCACTCTATTCCCCACATCTCATGACAAACATGTACATTTAATCCCCACTAGGTAACCATTTTGCGAGTAACTTTTAAGTCAGCAACTTTAGGGTCGGTAGAAAAGAAAATTATCTGTGTCGACCATGTGTACTCACTGGACTTATAGTCAATTTTACATGTTATTAAAAACAAGTGCAGGAAACTTCTATTATACAATTAACAAGCTATTCAACAATGTTTCATGGCAGGAACAAGAAAACTGAAGTACATTTTCATTTGGAACCTTTAAGCTTCATGACAAAATCCTTTATTTCCACTCATATTCTCGACGCATAAAATTAGAAAAGATCTCGATGAGCAATAAAATGTGCATAAAAACCTAATAGATTTAAAATAAATAAATATATGTTTGTGTATATATACACACATATATATAACTTATATGTTGTTTGCATGCAATAAATTTTTAGCCAAAAATCAGTTGACCTTGAAATGGCCAATTCATACTCGGAGAAACAGCAATATGCCACTAAAATATGTCTAACGAATCCTTTTCGTAATTTAATAATTTCACAACTTAACAAATAAACCCTTAAGAAACAACATTACAATGACAGAGACAAATGAATTTCAGTTGTGGCTACATACTTTAGTTATTCAAATTATTGCAAGAAAAATGTGAAAGCTACCCGGTCTCAGAAATGGAATTTAGAACACATCTTACAGCTTCATATTGGAGAAAATTCAATCTTTTCCTTCTCTCACGGTCGTCTTGTACTTCCTACCATCATCATGACAAATAATGGGTTAGCAAAACTTGTACAGAGAAAAAAACAGAACGTCGTATTTAATAATTATCCGCATAAATTATTCTACCATAATCTTTACAGAGAGTGAAAGAAAATCACAAGAGTTGCTATAATTATTGAATATACCCTGATGACCATCTTCTTATTCATTGGCACTGAGTTGTTGTCCCCTAACAGCCACTCCTTGGTTCTTTTCAGTTTCAAAAACCCATCATCATTTTCTTCGCCGGTATACTATAAACAAAAAATTAAAAAAGAATCATGGTTATAAATGAAAGATTTCCTACAAATAAATTCGCGATTGGCAAAGTGAAATCCATCTTCAGCAATTTAGTATTATGAAATTTTCCATACAAAAGAGAGAATAGTAATCATACCTCGTCTAACAACTGAGAGTCATTATTGAGATTGTTCGCTATTTTTTCAGCTTGGTTTTCGGAATTTGAAATCAAATCCCTTATCCAGAATTTATCAGAGATTTTCGATATAAAATCTCCGGTCAATTCTCTTTCTTTCAAAAATGCTTGCAACACTTCATCTCCAGCAAACTCTCTGGCTGTCATAATGAAAAAGAAGAAAAAATTTAAACAAAAAATTCAGCGAAAAAGGGTTTATGTAACTTGAGAACTAAGCAACAATCTGAAATGGGTACTCACGAGGAGGGGAGGTTTTGAGGGCCGAGCTTATGTATGGAATTCTGTTACAAAAACGACGGGGTCTGGAATTCGAAGAATGCCGGACGGGGAATTTTGAAAAATATCCAATTGCTGAAAGAGAATTCATATTTTCTTGATTTATGAAATTAAAAATTCAATCCTGGACAACACAGTTCAGTGTATTGTATTTTTGTGAGTAAATTTAATCAATAGTCACTGAACTTTCAAGTTGTTACCACTTACTCATTGAACTTTAACGCGTTACCGAACACTCACTCATCTTTCCTTATGGTTACCCATCCACCACTGACTGCACTCCCGTCTCTTAAATTGACAGAAAAGTACACGTGGCTGACAATTTTCTTACGTGGCAAACAACCCACGTTAAATTGCCAACGTGTAACTTAAACCCACGAAATTAACCTTCTCAAATAACGACACTTCTCTTTCTTCCCCATTTTCACATTTCTGCTCACAGGAAGAGAAAATCAACACCAGTCCTCTGCATTTCTTGAAATTCTCCCTGAAATCAACGTATTAGGCTTGGGAATTCTTCTCTTGTGTGGATAATGGAGGGCATAGGTGACCCATAAGGCCCTCACATGGATGATCCATTGTTGGAAGATGAGCAAGAAAGAATTCTGGAAGGTAATTTTTTAAAACTATTTGGTTGGAACATGATTTGTTTCCTTATGGTCATAAAGTTTAAGATATATGTCTTGATGGTTAGACCCCATTTAGTAGAGTTGCTAACTACCACTAAGATTGAGATTTTTGCTAGAATTCTGTATATTTTTGTTTATTTAAATCGATTTTTTTTCCTGTCATAAGGTTTCAAGTGATTCCCAGAAGCGGGCCATCTATGACCAATATGGTGAAGAAGGCCTAAAAGGTCAAATGCCGCCGCCAGGTGTTGGTGGTGCTGGTCCTGGAGGTGCTACATTTTTCCAGGAGATGGACCGAACTTATTTCATTTCAATCCAAGAAATGCCAATGATATTTTTGCTAAATTCTTTGGTTTTTCGAGTCCATTTGGAGGGATGGGTGGTGGTAGTGGCATGAGGAGTGGTGGTACAAGGTTTTCTAGTTCAATGTTTGGTGATGATATATTTAGTTCATTTGGAGAGGGTAGACAAATGAGTTCAGCCCCGAGGAAGGCACCACCAATTGAACAAACATTGCCTTGTAACCTGGAAGAGCTTTACAAGGGAACCACAAAGAGGATGAAGATCTCCAGAGAAATAGCTAATGCACAGGCATTTTGGTGTAAAGATAGGATGCTTTGAAATGAATGTTTTTTATCCTTGCAAGCCCTGTCTCTGTCATTTCCTGCTATTTTTCTATCATTTGCTGTAAAGAAAGGATGCTTTGAAATGAATGTTTTTTAATAGTCAGTTGAAAGATGTGAACTCAGTTTTATTGCATCACAGCTTAAGAATTCTCCATTTGTTGCATCAGATTGGGAAAGCTTTAAGTGCATAGCTTAATGGTGGGGGAAAATGTCTCCACTCCAATCTGATGCATCACAGCAATCAGATTCAGCACAAGCTTAATTCTCAACAAATTTGTTGCCATCTCATATCTGTATTGAGGCTGAGAAACAAATGATATTAATTTATCAATTGTTCACATATTAAATCATAGGGTACATTATAGTGTATATAACAGAGTATACATTGAAAGTTGGGAATCACATTTATGCACCTCAATCAATCCAATTTTCAATAACCTCATAAGTAAGTTCTGATTTACACATAATATTGCCCATCTACCAACTCAGCCACAAAAATGAAACAAACCAAGCTATACCATGATTCATAAAAGGATTACACTGAATTGGCAAAACTGCTCAATATTATTCCTAGTGAACTTGTCTTTATATAGTACACAAGTTAGCTAAAGAAGGAATATACAATCAGATTACAGAATGATTTTCTATACATAGCAGATTGACAGAATAATTCCTGATTGACTGCAGAATGATTATTGATTGAATGTTGATCCATTAATCATGCGAATTCCCTTATAATCCATTCATTCCTGCTTCTTCATCATTTTCATTTCTATTATCAGCCCCACAAGCAATAACCAGGACTGCAATCTCCATTCTATATGGGCTCTTGCTTCTACCCTATTCATAGTTGCATCAACAAGGAAATGTCACTAATTTCACCAATTTTCAAAGCAAATGTTGCATCTTCAAAAGACTTCTGCGTTTGACCTCAGAATGGACGAAGATGACCAAGATCACCGAACTTCAATTGTTGGCAAATCAATTCCAACTCTGAAAATAACCTCATAAAGGTAGGCAAAACCCTGCCTCCCACATAAGCTTCTGCTTCAATATTCAAATTCTCGACCGGACTTCAATTGTTGGCAAATCAATTCCAACTCTAAAAATAATCAGAAATAAATAAACCAAATCCAAATTATAGAGCTACAACACAATCAAGGGTCGTTCGAGGAGGCCTTGCGCCGGTGGAAGTGAAGCGAATTAGGGGTTCTCTTCCAGTGGTGGTGGAGATGAAGCGAAACTTGTCATTTTGTTTCACACATTGGGAATTAAGGGTTTTGGGTTGGAGGTTCTCTTCCAGTGAGAAGGAATGTCGTGAAAATGGGGGAGATGGGTGTTTTGAGCAAGGAGGAAGCTTTGAATTGGGGGGGGTTCTCTTCCAGTGAGCAGAGAAAATGGGGGAGGAGCGTGTTTGAAGAGGAGAGTGTGTGGGTTTAATTACAGGGTGTCAATTTAACGGAGATTGTTTGCCACCTAAGCAAATCGTCAGCCACGTGTAATTTTCTATCAATTTTAAGAGACGGGAGTGGAGTGAGTGGCGAATGGGTAACTATAAAGAAAGATGAGTGAGTGTTCGGTAACCCGTTAAAGTTAAGTGAGTAAGTAGTAACAACTTTAAAGTTTAGTGAGTGTTGATTAAATTAACTCGTATTTTTGTTATCCTTCAAATTCAAAGGTCTAGAAATGAAGGATTTTGGGGATACACAGTTGTACGGTACGGTGTCAGTCCAAACAAATATGAAAGTAGGGGTGTCCAAAAATCCCGAATCGAATCGGACCGAACCGAACCGAGCGGTTCTTCATAAATTAAATACCCGAACGGGTACCCGAATCGAGAACCGATGGGTTTGGGTCGGGTCTCGGGTCTACACCAAGAACCGAAGAATCGAACAAGAACCGAAACTAAATAATTTTTTTATTTTTTATATTGAATTAATTAAATTATTTTATTTTTTTCCTATACAAATTAGCAAATTAATTGAATAAATTAGATTATTTCATAATTTTAATTTTTAAGCCCAAATCATTTTAAAATNATCGAACCCGAACGGTTCCATAATTATATTTGGACCCGACGGGTCCATTTATTAAATACCCGAAAGTTTTGGGTCGGTTCGGGTATCTTCAGAACCGAACCGAACCGACCCACGGACAGCCCTATATGAAAGGCTGAAGATATTTTCGTGGCAGAAGTTACCTATCCAGGACAAAAGTTCTCAAGAAAAATGTTGAGGCCCCCAAACTTCACAAAATATATCATTTATGTCTACGTTCTCATTTACGTGTATCTCAACTTTCAATTCTAGCATTCGTAAGTCATTACTCGATCAGTCTACAATCATCTCGTATAACAAAATAATCACATTTAGACGTTTAAAACACTCATATTTACGATTTTTACTATTTTGAAATCACCGTCCATTCAAAATCTACTCTATACTTAGTTGATTTTTGGCTCTCATTTTTTTAAAACTTATTTTCAATCATATATTTTTCCGTAAAATAATTTTACACGCAAATTCAAAATATTTTCTTATTTTTTAACCACACATTCCTCAACAAAACACTATTTTAAAATGCATTTGGACGCAAAAATGAGGCCCAAACATGAGTTTAAAAGGATAGTTTTCGAGTTACTTTTTTGTTTTTCCTATTAGTCATGTTCTCAAGAGGCACAAATTACTTTATTTGAAAACTTGAGAAAATTTTGATATAGCCCATGTTTGGTGCACATTTTTGCACTAAAAATGTATTTTTTGTTTTGATGTAATGAGGAATATGTGATTGAATATTTAAAAAGAATGAAAAGTTATTGATGTGATGGAAAATATTATTTTATTGAAAAATGTGCGGTTGAAAATTAGTAGAAGAATGAGAATGAAAAAAATAATGTAGTTTAAACAAGGACATAATGGAACAATGCACATTTTTGCACTAAAAATGTATTTTTTGTTTTGATGTAATGAGGAATATGTGATTGAATATTTAAAAAGAATGAAAAGTTATTGAAGTGATGGAAAATATTATTTTATTGAAAAATGTGCGGTTGAAAATTAGTAGAAGAATGAGAATGAAAAAAATAATGTAGTTTAAACAAGGACATAATGGAACAAATTTTTGATAAAGTGGACATGGGCTTGACTCGATCATTATTTTTATTTTTTTATTTTTTCGATACGACAACTTCGAATACTAGCTGGTTTGTGTCGAATGTTGGTAGGGAAGTTGAGATTGACCTGTATGACCTCAACGGGTAAAAAAATTAGCACACACATATATATAGAGCTTGTTTGAGCCAATTTTTAGTGTAAAATATATTTTGAAATAGTAGATTGATGAAAAATGTACTGTTAAAAAATAAAGAAAAATAAAATTTGATTATAATATTATTTTATTGAAAATTTATAGTGAAAAATAAGATAGAGAAAAATGTATTTTAAAAAAATGACGATTCATATATTTTAAAATAGAATATAATAACAGAATAATGTTATTTTGGCATTTAAGTAGGTGATACAATGTTTTATGAGATATGATTGGAGGAAAAAACTGTGACATTAATATGAAAAACAAAAACGCTATAGGTATAGAAAATGGGAACCGAATTCTTACAGGAATTTGAACTATCATTACGTGGCATGAACAATGGCTGAGTGGACCAAATGTTGGAAAATCGGTCAAAATCGGGAAACAATTGCAAAACCGGTTGAAATAGCAAAACCGTGGGAAGGATCCCATTTCCCCCCAAATCACCCTCTCCTTCCCCGACAGCGAGAACGACGACCCACTCCTTCCGCCTCAAAACCGACCATCCTTCTCCACCATTTTCACCATCCTTCAGCCTCAAACATCGCCTTAACCCGTCATCACCGCATCTCCTTTCCCCCAACTCCCTTTTCCCCCCAAATCTGTCGTGGTATCTCCTTCCCCCCAACACTTCTTAACTCCATCTCCAGAACGGCCATCCACAAGCAGCGACGCCGACGGACCGAAACCCAACTTCAACATTGTCGCTGAAAACAAAGGGCTCTCGCTGCAGATGATGGACGAAGGTATATCGGTCCAGAGTTTACAATGTCTGATTTTCCAGCGTGAAAAAATTATGTTAATCCATTCTTTTATGTTCATTTGGCATCTGATTATGTATAGGCTAGCTGATAAATTTATGTTCATTTGACAAATTTATCCAGATTTTACAATGTTGATTTGCCATAAATTGCAATGTGTGATTTTCCCTAAATTGATATCCAGATTTATGCATTTCAATATGAAGCATCCAAATAGAATGGTTATTAGTTTAGGATATTGTAATGGTAAATTAAATTTTGTTATAAAACAAAGAATGATGATCTTTGGAATCGGGGTTAACTTTGTTGGCCGAATTCATATTGAGATAGCTGGAACTTAATAGCATTTGTGAGCATATGGATTTAGTTGTGTGACTTGCGTTACTATTTTAATGGCAAGCGGCAGAGTTATGCTCTTAGTTATAAATAACTTTACAACTTCTAACAAAATTAAAAATTTTATTGCAGGAAAAGAAACTGTAGGAGGTGAGAATCAGGATTTGTTGCTGGAATGTGATAACGAGAACATAATCGAGCATTTCAACACATTGGAGAACGAAAATGAAGGAGGAGATGTTGCGACTGAGCCTGAGGTGGGTATGATGTTTAATAGTGAGAAAGAAATGTTGGAATTCTACAAAAAATATGCCTACACCGTAGGTTTTCCAGTGAGGAAACGAAATTCGAAAAAGGCGGACGATGGAGTTATGAGATATGTCACGTTCACATGTAGTCGTGAAGGTCGAAGAAGTTATGCTACGGGCGGTTCCTTGAAGCCGCAACCAACATGTCAGACAGACTGTAAAGCAAGAATTTCTGCATCTTTAGATACTCTTGGAGTTTGGTGAATTAACAAAGTGAACCTCGAACACAATCATAAAACAAGTCCTTCAAAGTCACGGTTGTTTCGATGCAATCGAAAATT